TATATGTGTATTTAAAAAAAGACTTATAACACATTAAATCACACAAAAACTGAAGAAATTAACTTATGGATGAGTTAATGGTTTTATTTTTGTTTCTGACACATTAATAAACAACAAATCAAATATTCCGATGCATAAACCCAACTACTTGAATATAAATGTGTCAGGAGACAACAGTGGGAAATAAATGCCTCACAAGTGTGGACATGACATACACATTTAAAACTGAAAATGTAATTTAATAGTAATAATTTAAAATAATGTAAACTCTGTTCCTAGAGGTAGTTCAGGTGGTTTTATACCTAGAATAATACATTTCGGTTCAACAGCTGGTTGAATTTAAAGAATTTCCCTAATTAAAGTTTTGGTTTGTGAGTTACAGCCTGTTTAGATTAATATGTTTAGTCTGAATATTTTGTGATTTTGATAAACAACTGTAGTTCCCATGAAAACTGAAGTATTTGGAGTTTGAAACAATTTTCAAGACGTTGTTGTAGGTAAAAACATTGTAATTTAAGATCTTAAAATGCTTCAACATGTAAAATAAAGTAAAATATAAACATTATTTAAAGAAATATTCATAGTTATTATGAATCTGTCTGAATCTGATCTTTTTCTAATTTATTTGAAAGAGGCACAATGAGTAGTTCAAGGTCCATTTGTCCAAGTTACAAACGAAAATAACATTTTCTCACTTTTCAGAAGATGATTTTTTATTTTTTAAGAAAAAAAACAACAAACGAATAAAACAAAAAAAACTTCCTGGTGTTTTGGGTGAACTGCCCCTTTAAAGGACTCGTTCCCACAAACAGCAGGTTCAGCATCAGACTGACAAAGTGAGGATGAAAGATGTGATTAACATTCATCACATGCAGACAGCATGGGAACTGTGTGTGTGTGTGTGTGTGTGTGTGTGTGTGTGTGTGTGTGTGTGTGTGTGTGTGTGTGTGTTAATCAGTGTGAGAGCTGCAGGTCGTCTCTTGAATCATTTGTCAAGATGTCGTCTTTGTGTTGCTCAGACTGACAGAGTTAAAACAACACATTCACAGCCTCTCTCTCTCTCTCTCTCTCTGTCATGGAGGATAAAAGGAGATAAATTATGTCTCATCCGTCACTATTCTTTTCTCGTCATGCCTCTTGGTGTCTGTCGCCATAACCCCGTTCTCTAAAGCTCTCGCCCTCTCTCGCCTCCTCGTCTCTCCCGTGTCACCAAACTGTCGGCCATGTAAATTGAACCTTAAATAACGTTAAAACTCACGAGTGCTGTGTGGTGATTTTCCCCCTCATGGCTTACCGTGGCCGCTCACTTTCTGAAACCGTTCAGAACTACGAACCCGTCCAAGTCCCGATCCAGACTCGCTGCACTTCCTGTGCTGACCGCGGGAACGCCAAAGAGAGCGCCGGGAGCTTCAGAGCTCACTAGATTCATTGTTGCTGCTTGTTCGTCTGTGGATATTTCTCCTGACTCCTGCTTCACTAAATGGTCGACGTGTCTTATCCTACGTAAACTATCACCGGGCAACAGCTGAGATTCAAACTATAAAACTTTATGGTCGTGTGCACAGGAAACACATTGAACTGTACACGACTGTCCACCACATGGTACCGGCTCGACTCGGCTCGACTTTATTGGTTTTCAGTTGGCCACAAGTTGTGGATAGTACCTGGTTCTTTTTTTTGGTGTCACCTCCAAGAAAGATGAGGCGATGCCAAGAAGATTCGCCCTGATTTCACACCCGGATCGGTCGCCCTCGACTGATTTTAGAGCCGTGCTGAATTTAGGTCGATTCGCCTGAACGATCAATGATCAGGTTGGGTTTCTGATCTGATTTACCACATGACTGCTGTCAAAATATCCTTTGTAAAGAGCTTGTTAAAATATTATTAGGGTATTATCTTACATGTAGTACCCAGACTTGTTATTGTCTGCAGCTCCATGTTCTTTCTCTCGGTTCAAAGGAGGTCGTTCAGCGACGACATCTGGGGAACATGAATGTCTGTACAACGGTTTTAATGGCCGGACCAGATTGTAGATTCAGAAGTTGGGTGTGCACAGATGTCGCCAGTGTGAAGTTTTGTTGTCTCAAAACAAGAATAGCACAAATCTTATTTTAAGTAATTTCATCCTGCTTGAAGAATCTGGAGGTGACAAGCTCCGCAAGTTCGGCCGCCAAATGTCCTTGTTTCCAACGAAAGAAAGCTCGTATATAAAAAGTTTGCACTTAAGTTTCATTGTGCAGTTTTGCAGTCAACACAAAAATGTTTAACTTTTATTGAGGATTTAAAACCAACGTGGATCCTGAAGTGTCACCTGTGGAAAAAAGATGCTAATTTATCTTTTGTTTGTAATGATCTGCAGGTTTTTATCCCATTAAAAACTCCCACATCTCCTCCCCAAACTGCTGGAGAGCATTAGCACCATGCAGGGCAACACACACACACACACACACACACACACACACTCACGAAGCAGTCAGCTGTCACTCAGCTCCATTCACCTTTATGCAGCGACTCAGTCGGGGTCACATCAACACTCACATTCAGCAGCCAAGTCTCATCCATCTACAGTCATTCAACACCACTCAGCGGGGGTGGTGTTTATGTGTGTGTGTGTGTGTGTGTGTGTTTGAGGGGGGGGTTAGGTGAAGGATCAGTGTGTGTTTGTTTCCATAATCTGCCCTTAATCCCAAAATCCTCTTCCTCCCTGCAGAGGAAAGAGAAGAAAAGCAGGAGTTTGATGAATGAGTGAGTGACAGAAATGAGAAGCTTCAGTCCTCATTGTAGCAGCTCAGTGGATTCCTCCTCCTCCCTCCTCCTCCTTGTCTTCCTCCTCCTCCTGCTGCTGCTGACGGTGGCGTCCCTCCAGCATCATTCAGGCACTTGGACGACACTTGAAGCTGCAGATGACTAAAACGCTGCTGGTGTTTCCTTTGTAAACGGCTTCATTGAGATTCCTGTGAAGAGTCTGTTTGTTCTCAGGCTGAGAGATGCTGCAGCAGCACGATGATGATGACGGTGATGACGGTGATGACGGTGATGATGACGAAATCCTGCCAACGGTCGCAAATATTGCAACAGCATTTCTGTTATGAGACATCATGGTGTCCGGTGTTGAAATATCAAAGTTAAATCCACTCATATTGCTGTTTTTAATTGCTCCCAGGCTGCAGCACACCTGAAAACACACACATACATGACCAGGTAAACTGGTGTAAACAGGAAGTAGATCGTCTACTCTGTAGTTGATTAGATGCGCAAAATACTACGTACAAGGAACAACAAAGACAGCTGTAGCATTGAAACAGAATGTAAGTGAACAGCAGCTGCAAAGACAACAAGGTCAGTAACGCTGTCATCCATCATCATGGTGTATTCACCACTGGTAGTCCAGGCTGATGACAGCCAATCAGGAGAGGCCGTGGGTGAGACACAACTGCAGAGTTTCCAAAGTAAAACAGGGTCAGCAGTTTCTGAGAGTCTCGGTTTTCGGCGCTGGAAAACTCGTGTGGACGGGAGGAGAAAACGTAGGAAAGGAAATGAAATCGTAGTCGTGTGGACGGAGCCGTCGTCAGATCCACTCGTGCCCCAGTGACAGGGCGGTGACATTACGTCTGTTAACATTTGGCATTCAGCCTAGATCATGAGTTTAAGGGTTAGGGTTAAGAGTAATGTGTTGTCAAGGTTGCTAGGCGACAGGACCCGGTGAGGGGCGGCACAGCTGGTGACGCAAAGCATTTTCAGGTGTGTCGGATACATCTACATTTAAAATGAGTGATGGCAGACAAAGTTAGAGGTTAGAAAAGGTCGTCGCAGCTCAGAGCCTCACTGAGCTGATCCAGGTCATCACTTTGTGTTTTCACATCATTCACACTCTGGACGCTGGTTCTGAAAAGCTGTGTAAAATGACTCGTCAGCCGATTTAAATGTCTTAATCTGGATGTGGTCTGAGGCTGACGACGATGACAGACTCCAGGTCAGCGGTGAGTCACTGGACACAGGACACTAAACCAGTGGAACAGCCCTTTAATCATCTGAGAACGAGCTTCACACAGAGCTGGGAGTCTGTGTCGTCACCAGCCTCAGCAAAGAGCTGAGGCTGCAGTTCACACAGCTCAGTGTGTGTGTGTGTGTGTGTGTGTGTGTGTGTGTGTGTGTGTGTGTGAGAGACATTTGCTGTGGTGGAAATTATGAGTGCATTTGCTCAGCTTTGAGTTAAGAGAGTTGTGTGTGTTCTTGTACTTATGTCTCTGTGAGGACCAGTTTGAGTCCATACAGTAAAAACCATCTGCAAGAAAATCATCCATCCAACAAACCACAGTGTGAACTTCCTAAAGCTGCGTTTATGTTAAAGCTCTGTTTCTTCTTCTGTGTTTTATCTGAAGTGTTGATCCATCAGAAGATATAAAAACCATCTCAGTGCAGTTTTACATCTCCTCTCTCAGGCTTCTCTCTGCAGCTCTAGTAACAACAGGTCGGTGAGCCAATCAGAAGAGAGGAGGCTCTGAGCCTCTCCTCTGATTGGCTGACTGTTTTCTGAGTGGTCCAATAAAAATATAGCAGATTTCAGGTAAAACCACTAAGAGAAACCAAATCCTGCAAGGTTTGGATGGTGGGTCCAGGTGGGCGGGGCTTGGTGACTGCTTTGTTGTGACATCACAAAGTTCCAGAAGTCCTGACGGCTGGTTTTAAGGCTCAGTTTCTGAATACAGGCTGTGTGCATTTCTCTGTGGACTGAGGCTTTGATACTTTCACAGTATTAATATAGAAGCTAGAGCTGATCTATAATCACACTACACATGGACACACACCTTTACACTGGTAGAGCTTTAATAGTCACCTTATTTTAATTTCTTGCACCAGAGAAAATAAAGACCGACTTGTTCATGTCTCTCTCTCCTCACCTCTCAGCAGCTCTAACGTCACACGGTCCTCCTCCTCCTCCTCCTCCGTCTCCAAACTTCCCTGGAGGAGGAGAAGTCTTCAGAGAGGAGAGAGGGAGGACAGAGAGAAGTAGAGCAGACGCGAGTCAGACAGATTTCCTCTCTCTCTTCTGTCCTCGGAGTTTTTTCTTTGCTGCAGACATGTTGGACACACTCACCTTCCTCCTGGAGAAACTCTTCCTCCTCGCCCACATCAAGCTCTCCAGCCTGCTGCCTCCTCTGGCCAGAGAGCGCGGAGACCCGCCGCTCACCAGGCGCTGTGAGCGGGATGACTCTCCGCCGCAGCCCGCCGGAGCTCCGCAGAAGTTTCAGCGGGGGGACCTGCTGGAGGTCCCGCGGACTCTCTTCACCCACTTCGGCATCTACCTGGGAGACAACCGGGTGGCGCACCTCATCCCGGACATCCTGCCGGTGCTGACGGCCGACAGCCGGCAGATCCAGGAGATGGTGACCAACACGCGGCTGCTGCTCGGGGTGCTCTCCAAGCGCGCCAGCATCCGGGTGGACTCGGTGGAGGACTTCGCGTACGGAGCCGGGATCCTGCTCAACGCCATGGACCGGGCGGTGCGCCGGAGCCCGCTGTCCGGGGAGGAGGTGGCCCGGCGGGCGGAGCGGCTGGTCGGCACCGTGTCCTACAGTTTGCTGTGGAACAACTGCGAGCACTTCGTCACCTACTGCCGCTACGGGACGGCGCAGAGCCTGCAGACAGACCAGGTGAGAATTTGGCGCTTTTTACGCGAGGATTGCAAGCGGCGGTTTTGATGTCGCTTCTAGGAGCCGAGGTGGAAGTGGTCTGATGGTTCTGGTCTCTTCATCAGCTCATCTCGGTGCACGTGAAGGTTTTCTTGCAGAACTTTTCTGTGGTTTAAATGAAGTGACATCAGCATCTGCACGGTCCAGCTGCAGGAGTCAGGCAGGTCTGTGCAGCCTCATGAAATACACAAGCTGAACGAACCAGTGAGTTCCTCACACTTCTGCTCTGGTTCGGTTTGTTTAGAGGCTGTGAGGAGGTTTTATCTTCTGCAGCAGGTAAAGGAGGAAACAGTTTCATTTAGTAAGTGTTTGTGCAAACCTGACAAAAGAAATGAGAAAAATAATGCTATAATACAAAGTCCAACAGTCTGTAAACGATCCATTAAGTCAATGTAAACTCAGTACAGAGCATCACACACGTCACTTTACACTTTAACTCCACTACATTTGTGTGACAGCTGCAGTTACAAGTTAATTTTCCCTCAAAGCTCCTCCAGTGTAAAGGTGTGTGTCCATGTGTAGTGTGATTATAGATCAGCTCTAGCTTCTATATTAATACTGTGAAAGTATCAAAGCCTCAGTCCACAGAGAAATGCACACAGCCTGTATTCAGAAACTGAGCCTTAAAACCAGCCGTCAGGACTTCTGGAACTTTGTGATGTCACAACAAAGCAGTCACCAAGCCCCGCCCACCTGGACCCACCATCCAAACCTTGCAGGATTTGGTTTCTCTGAGTGTTTTACCTGAAATCTGCTCAAAAAATGTCCTCAAAACACTGCAATAAAAATATCACATATTAATATTATTTTCCACTTTCGCTGAGTTAGATTTTTTTACCAACATCAGTCCTGATCATAATGACGAGTATTCGTTAATTTTCAAGATTTTAACCTTTTAAACCCAGTTTGTTTATTCTGTATTCATAAGGCTCAGAGCCTCCTCTCTTCTGATTGGCTCACTGACTGGTTGTCACTAGAGCTCCAGAGAGAAGCCTGAGAGAGGAGATGTAAAACTACACTGAGATGAACCACAAATATATCTTCTCATGGATCAACACTACAAATAAAACACAGAAGAAGAAGAAAATATGGAGCTTTAAAATGAACCATGGCGAGTTTATAAAAAACTTCACGCGTCATTTAAGATTAAACCAACACGTCTGGCCTCTTACAATAACTCATTCCCTCTCCAAACCTCTGACATTGTTTCATTTCAAAACAATAAAACAATCCAATATTTCCCATGAATCATCTCACGATCCCTAAGATTCATCTGGTGACCCTTTGGAGGGACCCGACCCCTAGGTTGGGAAGCATCTCCACCTGGAGCAGCTACAACAGTCACATGCTGCTGAAGCATCAGTGACGCAGCATTATTAATGCCATTTATTATAGCATAAAGACGTTTGCTCATTGGTCTTAGTGCTTGTGATCGTTCTGGTGCAGAAGGTCAAAAACATCAACGTCAAACGAGCTGCTGCGGCTCCGCCTCCTCCCTCCGCCTCCGGTTCACGTTCTGTGTGTGTTTGAGTGAGAGAGGTTGTTTTTAAACGAGAGGAAAATCTGGGTCGCTGCTCGGAAAAGTCCAGAGAACAAGAGCTGCTTTCAGACTGGAAACCAGACTGCCAGAAACCAAACAGCAGCAGAGAGTCAGGGTCAGTGCAGGCTGATGATGATGATGATGATGATGATGATGATGATGATGATGATGAAGGAGGCGGTGGAGAGGCTCCTGCACTGTTTTTGCCTCTCATCTGTTCCAATAAAGGATGATTAAAGAGTAAAAACCCAGAAGCTCATTTAAAAACACTTAATTTCCCAGAATCCTCAGACTCCTCCAACTGTCTGGGTGAAGAAACACTCAGACTGCTCTGCACCATAGCAAAGATTTTAACCCATTTCCCATGTTGCATTGAGCTGCTTCTTCTTTCTTTTATTCACCAGTTAAAAATCTTTTCTATCGTTCGATGGATGGAATATTTGTGTCTTTGGGGACAATATCGACTAAATATCCACTGTCTTGTTTTGAAGATGCAGTAAAGCTCGTGTTGTACTTTCTGCACCAGCGAGGGTCCGCATTACTATATTGATAACATATTGGTAACTGAAGTTGTTAATAAATATGACCATATATAGTGAGAGATATATATATAATACACTGAATGGATTTGCAGAAAAAAATGGGTTTCATTTAGTTTTTTTGATGACGCTTTTTCTGAAGTAGCTGATTTTTCTGTTTGCTGTGAAAATATGGGTATATACATACAAATATATATATATATATATATATATATTCATATATTTATACATTTATACATTTGAACTTAAATCAAAATAAAAGCCGTCCTCTGTTACTCTTCTGTTGATCTAAATCAGACAATGAAAATCTGCATCACGTCTATTTCTTGTTAGAAGTTTGTCTCAGACATATTTAAAGTGTAAAATGTGGGGGATGTGAAGGGGGCGTGGCCTGTCTGTGCATTCATACCCTGTATCAACCCCCCACTGACCCCCACCCCCTCAGCAGAGAGACTTTCCCCTGATCGAGTTTCACTTCCTGTAATTGCTAACCTAAACATCTGACCTGGCTGCAGCCGAGGACTCACATTCTGCTTCCTACAGGTTCATTAAAGCGACAGGGTGGGGGGTGGGGGGCAACAGGAGCTCTACCAGGGGCCTCAGAGGGCCCCACAGTAAAATAAACAACAGGTCAATTATATTCTTGGATCTCTGACCAGAGGTCGGCTCACTGAGAGCCTGACGTTTTCTTTCTTTTTTTTTCTTTTGGTAAATCGTGTGTTCTTATTTGTCTTGGATAAATCAGGGATTTCCCCCAACACACACCCCTGTCCCCGTTGTAGGCATGTTTTAGAACTACAACTCCCACAATCCTGTGTGAACTTGCATTAGATCTTATTGGTTTAGGGAAAAAATTGAAAGAGAAATATTATTAAATAAATAATGATGACGTCGTAAGAATTAAAATAGTAACAATTTATCTCGCAACTTCTCTTTTCATTTTTTATTTCCCCTTTTAATTTGAATTCTTTCGCTGCTATAAAAATATTAACATATTTATTAATAATAATAATAATAATAATAATATTTCCCCCTGTTGTCCCCCCCAATTCTTTTCTCCCCAGTTCTGTGAGTGGCTGAAGTCGCTGATCCGGGACCAGCGTAACGTCCTCCTGACGGCGCTGCTCGGGCTCCTGTCCATGGTGTGTTTGGGAATATCCTCCAGCACTGCCCTGCCCACCATCCTCATCCCCTTCACCCTGTGGATGGCCAGCTAGAAGTTTCAGGACGATACCCACAAAAACAGGCCAAGCCGCCATGTTGGAAGACTTGTAGAAAGGATGTAGTCGTCTGCAAACAATTTCATACGTTAATGAAGCTAAATCCATACGTAGCTCTTTTCCTGCTGCACAGGAAGCAACTGGTTTTAATGTCTCTGTTTTGTTTAGAACAAATGGGTGATGGGTGTTTACCAACAAAGAAAGACAACTGGTTTTCCAACTTTAATCCATGTTAAAGGGACCAAAGATCATTTATTAATTACTCATTTTTACTAAAGCTACAGGTTTTATTAAGAATGTGAATTTGTTTTTGTCAGTCCTCCAACATGGAGGAATATCTTTTCCAAACAAGACAGAAAACTGTGGATTTGTATACAAAACAGACAGTTTTGCTGAATTTTTTATTGAAATATTTCATATTTTTTATAAAAAAAAGTACTGATCATTTGAATTAGCTGTGATGATGCTGTCAGCCAATCCTGTGTTGGGAGAAGTTATTCTACATCTGCGTCCAGTTCAGTTCAACCTTTAAAGGATCAGTCTGGTGTTATTCTGTATTTTCCTTATTGTCTAAAACAACAGTGTGTCAGACGCTCAGCTCCAAACCCAATGGTTCACACTGAAGAAGTAAATCTTTAAAAGCATTTAAAACACAAATATATAATTTATTTTAAAGACCATGAAATAATTTGGATGACTAACAGCTGGTCAAGTTTTGATTGAAAAATCAAATGTTCTTGGTCTTATATACATGAAATAACAGGCTTGGTCTCGGTTCCCACATATTTTTAGTGTTCATTTGGAGAAAATTCAACATTTTTCGCAACTGTTCAAGAAGCACAAAACCCTGAAACCGAAGGAAAACCATAAAGAATGACCCAGATGGCAGTTAAGAGGGTTTCATATGATGACAACAAAAGTCTTAACAGAAAATCATCCATTTACCAGCTTTTTTCCACAGCTCATCACCACATCTTGGTTTTGAAAGCCCTGGAAAAAGCTTGTAAGTGAAGCATGAGTTAAAGGTTTTTATTTAGTTCTTGTGACACTACTACTACGCTCAGCAGTTTTTCTGTTTTCATTCCACCCCCGACTGAAATCTGTTCAGTTTTTACACATGTAAACTGAGAAAAACAAATCAGTTTCTTTCCCTTGTAGATCAAAATGTTTTCATTTCAGCCCCGAAGCTCTTCTGTAAATATCTGTAGATATCCTTCACGACCTGATTGTTTTCTAACAGTCACAAACTTTTGTACAGAATTTATTTTTTACGACGCTGTAACACTTTATACTGTTTTTTTATGTAAATAAAGGAAGTGGAAATAGAGTGGACATGTTGAATTCTTTGATTTTGAAATGTGTCCAGTGTTTCAAGTTACTAAATCAGTCTTTAAATAACTCATCAGTGAATAGCAATCAGCTGCATAAATACTGTTATAGGTCATGAGCTGATACTCCACTCGCTTTCTATTTGCCTCTCTTCATACTCGTTGGAGAATCAGTGTCAGCGGGTCATGTAAAGTTTTCAGGTACTGAAAATAGACTCTGGACTCTGTCGCCCTCTACTGGCAAACAGTGTGAACAGCCTGAGGCCTGCTGTTCACTGTAGGTGGTGTCCTGCAGCAAACAGAAATCACATACTGGTTTCTGTGAGGGCACTAATTAGCAAAAGCTAAATGTTGTTATTTTTGAGGTATTTTGATATTTAACTACTCTCTTGAGTTTTGTTTTTGTAATAGATCTGGTTTAAGCTATTGAATATTGTTTTTGTAATTCTAATTGTTTAAAATAAAAAGCTGCCTCTGTGCAGCTGACTAGCAGTTAGCTAACTTTGTGTATTTGGTAGCTATCTCACTCTGAATCATCATTTTAGTATGATGAACTGTATATATTATGTACTGTATAGAAGCACATAGAACTTAACATAAACTTGGATTCATTCATTCATGGTGTATTGCTTGGTATTACAAGCAATTATATAAGTGTATAAGTTTATATTATTTTGTCCAACCCATTTATGTCAACAAAGATAAGCTAAATAACAGAAAGACCTCTGTATAAACAGTATAATCTTCATGAAGGACTGTTGTATTAGACTACATCAGTTTTAGCTAGATGTTCCTAATAAACTGTTAACTGAGTGTACATTAATAATTATCAGCTGTGCACAGGCTGCAAAGAGCCTGACTGACGTTGCTTAATAATAATAATCCTGACGCTCAATCAGCTCCCTGTTGATCTGAGGTTTCTGTGACTCAGCTCGATTCTGAATAGCAGAAGAAGAAGAGGCAGTCAGAGACTTCAGCATCTGTCCTCTGTTGTTTCTGCTTTTATTTCTGCATTTCTACTCACTTTACTGCCCTGAAGTCCTATTTTAACAGATTCTTTCAATTGTTGACTGAATATGTATTTTTTTTTTATCAGAGTTGTTTTTGTAATGTTGCTTTCCTCTCAGGACCTGAAACACCCGGCGCTGGACCTCGACCAGCCTCGGTGGCATTTCCCATAATCCCCTCTCTGCCCCTCCCACCCAGAGAATAAAACCACCTGTGAGGTGACGACCACATTTCCCTCTCCTTCTCCTCGCACCATGTTTCCTCTGCAGCTGCTCGCTCTGCTCTTCATCTCCACGCCGAGTCACGACCCGAAAGAGAAGGGGAGGAAGAGGGAGAGAGAGGAGGAGGCAGACGGAGGGAGAGGAGAGAGGACGGAGAGTAAGTATGACCTGATGTTCAGGAGGGGGGACCTGCTGGAAGTGCCCAGGACTCTGTTCACACACTTTGGGATTTACCTGGGGGCGGGCAGGTGAGTCTGACGGGCCGTGGACATCATGATGCTCCGATCTGATTGGTCGAAGATGCTAATTTAATTTTTATCCTGTCTTCTCTCCAGAGTAGCTCATTTCATCCCAGACATCATGCCCATCGTCTCCAGTAACCAGTGTCGAATCAAGCAGATGGTCACCAACAGCAGACTCCTGCTGGGAGTCCTGGCCAAGGTACTGAAGCACCATTCAACCCAGTACACAGACTGGGAGTCACGTCATGTTTCACTACGTTTCCATGACAGCTGAGCAAGGGCAGTTAAAAGCAACTGAAAAAAGTGGAGAAATAATGCAAAGAAATGATGTTTCACAGTCTTATCTTCACCTGGGGTGGACAGGTATCTGTTGGTAATGTCTGTAGTTCTTCACAGAATAATACGAAGTGTAGATGTGTTTCTTCCTCAGTGTGGCAGCGTGAGAGTGGACTCAGTGGAGGACTTCGCCTACGGATCAGAGATACTCATCAACACCACGGACAAGGTGACCCGCATCAAACCAGAACCCTGTCCAGCTGCTTCAAAACCACAATCATATCTGTTACCACCTCTGTCCAGGTGTGCAGCCGCCCGGCGCTGCGGGGGGAGGAGGTGGCCGTCAGGGCGGAGAAGCTGCGGGGCGACGTGTCCTACAGTCTGCTGTGGTACAACTGCGAACACTTCGTCATGTACTGTCGCTACGGCACCGTCGTGAGCTTCCAGACGTTCCAGGTGACGCAGACGTTAAACCTAAAAATTGAGTATGAAGAATTAGCTATTAGCACTTCCTGTTTACTATATACCACTGGATGTACAGACAGCTGTCACCAGACTATGTGATACTAAGGTTAAAAACATGATGATTCTAAGGCAAGTTCTGCGGTCATAAGTAGCTTGTTTTTTTCTATGATTTCTGGACATTTGGTCATGATGAACATCAGAGAGATTGAGATTATTGGAAAGTATAAATCACAATGAAATCTAAAAATATGTGTATCATGTCTATGTGTTCAGATTTGACTGAGTTATGATGCATTTTTTGACACCAATAGCGACAATCAGGGTTTTAAAGTAGGCTTTTTTAACTGCAGGAAGTAACCTCCTGTGTGCACCTGTCCATTTTCCCTCGGCTGAAAACCTCTGGAATATATCCAGAAGTTTTGTGTGTGGAAACTGCCTTGAGTTTTCAGAAAGAATCTGCAACAAACCTAGAAAAGCAGCGAGCTCCCACCAGTGTAAAATACTGTATTTAAACTCTTCGCCTGGACTGTGCTGCATATTTAATAAACGGCTCACAGCTAAAGGTCAGACACATTTAGCTGCAAGGCGTTTATTAAAGCCGATCACAGATCAGACCAGCCTGCCTCTTTAATTGGGTTAAACCTCCCTGTTGCAGCAACAGGCCGTCAATAAAAGCTCCTATTGTTTCTGTGCTATTGTTCTCAGCTGCAGATGGTTGTCTCATTGGAGCTGGGATTTGCAGCGTGTGATTAAAAGAGTGACAGAGTGTAATTGTGAAATAACGGAGCAAACAAGTGGCTGGGTTTCACACTGATGGATAGAATAAGTAGGAGAGGGAGGGAGAGGAAATGAGAAGTGGACAGAGAAAGATGGAGGGAAGAGAGAGCAGGGCAGACCGGAGGCGTCTCAAGTGGAAGTTTTGGTGAAATTTCAAAGCTGATTTTTTTTCAAGTAAAGCAGCTTTTGGCAGCTTAAAGAGTCAAATACCTTCAGTTTGTGTAAAAACCTAAATTCTAGTTCAGTTATTAATTAGTTAAGCTCACACTAATGAATGAATCTGTGAGTTGGGAAACAGATTTGGCCTTTTTCCTGAGGAAACTGCAGCGTCACACTGAACAATAGAAAAATACTGGAAGTTCAATAAGCTGATCCACAAATATAAAAGGAATTTAAATGTTGATAATAAATAGACTGAGTAATTTTCATTGATTATTTTGAACATTACAGATTCTCTGATATGAATATTTTCCAACTTTACTCTGTTTCTTTACGAATTATTAAAGGAGCTATTTGTAGGTTTTGCTATTGCTACATAGCTAACATTAGCATTAGCAGCTGTTTATTTACCAGTCTAGAAGAAACTTCATTCCTTTACTCACCAACAGCTCTCTCCAGAGGTCGAAAGCAACCCACTTGTTTTGCTTCTGTTACTATCACTTTTTTTCTTCTACTGAAGTTAGCATGCTAACCAGCTAGCCCTGGCCCAAGTCACTGTAGTCTCCAGTCTGCCCTGAATGAGCAGCTGCTCAGAGGACGCATTATAACCTCAGCATGTAAACAGCTGTTAATGCTAACACTAGCTATGTAGCACTAGCAAAAATGTACATATAGCTCTTTTAAGGCTTTTGGCTCTGACTTGTATTTGTTATCATATCTGAAATTTGATGGGCCAGAGGGTTATCAGAAAAAAACAATGATTTGTAATGATAACAATAAAGAAATATATATATATATATATATATATATATATATATATAAACCGGTTTAGATAAAAGAGGAATAACATGTGACCTTGTATCACCCCTGACCTTTAACAATTTCTTTTTTGCTGTAAATGTCTATCACCCAGTAGAATAACATGTTTACACCCTCAGTGTGGAAGGCTAATGAATAAATGCTCCATAGACTCTATATTAAGTTTTGATTTATAACATATTTGAAGCAGGAAATGAAGCTCATTCATCACTGTGTGTAAATGTCAGTGATAATAAGATGATGTAACTACTCCATCTAGTGGTTAGTTATGGTTCTGACTTTAAACTCTGTTCCAGGGTTAAACATGTAGGAAAATCATGGATTTATTTTTTATTGATAAACAGATGGGCATGATAGACAGAAAACAAAACCGATGATACCAGAGAACAAAAGACAAGAAACAAAAGGCAAAAACAGATAGTAAAAGTATCTAAAGGTGCATCTGGAGTAAGTTTAAGTCTGTTTCTTTTTATGATTGTGGAACTATAATATGGAACTATATAAGTAACATAATATTTATCACCATATTTTATTCCAGTTTACTTCTCGAGGAAGAATTTCCCCTCGTTGACAGTACGAACATGGATTATCAGGTGTTAAATGTGTTTTTATTTTTCTCCTCTTCATCAGTTCTGCAAGACTGTGAGGAAGCTGTTGCTGAGCCGGCGAGTTGCCAAGGTGACCGCGGTGCTAGGGGCGTGTCTGTTGCTCTACCTGAGAGCTGTGAGCACCTGCGCCACCCTGCTGGCCGTTCTGCTGCCCTTCCTCATATGGATGGCGTCGTAAAGGTCACATGAGACCGAGTCAAAGAGACTGAGAGAGTGAATGAACTCTCAGTTAACATTGAGGATGTTTCCGGTCCGTGGAGGTCTGCAGTCTAACACTGTGCAAATCACACATGAGAATAATCATTGAAAATGTACATTTATGACCCGAGTCTAATAAAGATTGTATTTTTCTGAGTCTCGGATTTTTTCATTACAACAATATAAATTTAATTATTTTTATTTATTTATTAATCATATTGTATTTAATTCTTTATTTTAGTTTATTTCACTTTATTTGATTTATCATAAATTTAACTTAATAAACCTAACTGTCATTGCATTCTGTTTTATTTTATTTTATTAAATTTTTTCATTTTATTTTATTAGTCTTATTATTTTCTCACTCATTAAATTTCAGTTTGATTAGATGTGTTACTTTACTTTATTTTATTTTATTTTATTTTACAAGAGGAACGTAACAACATGTTGTCCCGCCTACTGTGTCCAAGACGCCCGTGCTGATTGGCTCGGACGGGATCAGCTTCACGTCAATCAAAATCTCGAGAAGTTGGCAGGTTGTTGACAGGTTGACAGGTGAGGATTTTTTTTCCCCCGACGAACCTTAAATTGAACTGCACAACATTTTCTATGAAGTGTCGCTGTTTGAGATTTTATTCCGGTTAAGAAGAAAACGTTTTACTCTGAGGACAAATGGCGAGAGACAGAACCGGTGAGAGGTTGTTTCGGCGTAGTTAGCTAAGTGAACAAGTTAACCGTTGGCTTGATAAACGGCAGGAAGAAGTTTTGCGGGGAAGCTAATGTTACCGTTATTTCGCTATAGAGCCGCTAGCATAAATATTAGCTAAGTTAACAGCAGCTAGCTTTTAGCTGGTTGTGTTATTTTTTGGACGTTTTTACCACTTGGATATATTAATATCTTAGACATACCGGTTAGAAAGCTAACATTAGTGTTGCTACTGTTGCTAATTGGTTCTCAAAGTTGGGACTGGGGGCTGTTCCGGTCACTGAAATTGTTCCAAGTGGTCCAGAAAATAAATGAACGCTAGCTGACCAACACAACGAACAGTAGTTAAACTTCACTGTCAGTCTCTAAAGCCTTGTTTAAGTGAACCAGGCATTAGCATGAGTGTTTTGATAATTAGCATTAGCCAAAATCACATAATTAAAAATCGACTATTGAGTTAACTAACAATTTCAGATCGGATTATGTAGTGAAAATGTTCCTGACATGTAGCTAGTAAAGGTAAAACATAATATGTTGGATTAAAGCAGATTTCCCTGCAATAATAATAGTATTTTGCATATTATGCAGAATTCATGGTGTGCCTGTAGTCTTTGTTTAAACTGAAGCTCAAATATGATAAAAGTGTTGGATGTTTTTAGAAATGCAGTTTAATCTTGACACGTTGCTGTTGTGTAGCTGTAATATCCAGTACTTATCAAGTATCAAGTAAGTAAGTATCAAGTAATAAAATATTGATTTGCCAATTTTGTCTGACCAGATAGTCAATATAAATTAAAGTATATTTATGGGAGACACAGTAAGTAATGCAGACTCACGTTTGAGATGCTGAAAACAGGGAATGACTTAATTAATTGATTTTTAATTAATTTATCCATTCATTTGCACGTTAATCACAAGAAGTAGCAACTCAGGCAAGAAACAACTCACATGTCACAGTTTTCTTGTTATTGGTAATTTGTGTTTAATATGCAGAGTTTGTTTTAACTGATTAATTTATATTTCCCTACACTTGAAGGCTGATTGTTTCGTGTTTAAATTCACAAGTCAGTCATTTGTAGCTGTTGGTGGTCCAACCATCATCCCCCTGTAGCGTTGACCATTATATCACCATATGAATGTGCGGACAGACGGTTGACTGTAATGTTTCCTGGATAGGTGGTGACAGAGAGTCAGACGGAGACATGGAGGGAGACTCCGGTAAAGTCAGTCCGCTGATGGGCGAGGACGAGTTCAAGGCGTCCTGTGCTAAGGAGATGGCTCTGCTGGCTCTGATGGAGAAGACGGGCTACAACATGGTGCAGGAGAACGGGCAGAGGAAGTACGGCGGACCCCCGCCAGGTGTGTGTGTGTGAGGCCATGAACAATGAAAAAAAAAGAGTGAGAATGTCCCAGATATTGATTAGTACGTTTCCTCTCATGTAGTCAAACTTGTGAAAACCCAGGCTGGACTGGGACAGTTTCACACACAGACTAATGGTCAGACAACATGAATTCATCTTGACCCTGTTCACTAGGACTCATTTCATCAGACACTGAAATGTCTTTGTGAATCCCTGTTAAAGATGGATCCATAAAAGGTGTGTGTGTGTGTGCGCGCTCCAGGTTGGGAGGGGCCGCCCCCCCCGCGGGGCTGCGAGGTGTTTGTGGGGAAGATTCCCAGAGACATGTACGAAGACAAGCTGGTGCCTCTGTTTGAGAGGGCGGGCAGGATCTACGAGTTCAGGCTGATGATGGAGTTCAGCGGAGAGAACCGCGGCTACGCCTTCGTCATGTACACCAACAGGTAGCGGCTTCGTTCTGTCCGACATATCACTGATGATCGGTTATACAGGCTTGATTATGATTGATGAAGTATTGGTGGTTATTGGTTGTGGTCCAGAGAAGCCGCTCAGAGAGCCATCCAGATGCTGGACAACTACGAGATCCGGCCGGGGAAGTTCATCGGAGTCTGTGTGAGTCTGGACAACTGCCGCCTCTTCGTCGGCTCCATCCCCAAAGAAAAGAGGAAGGACGAGATCATGGAGGAGATGAAGAAGGTATTACCGCCCCCCCCCCACAACAACACACACATACACCCCACCCTTAGAAAACACAAACATAGTATTTTTCTCCTCATTAACAACAACAACATGATGTTTGTGACTTCACAGTAATGACAGTAATTTAACATATGAAAAACATTCTCTATCCTCAAAGGACGACTCAGCAGCTGTCTGTCTCCACACACGTCTTCTATATGCTTCCCTCTAATTACTGGTCCTCGTCATATCTGTGTGTGTGTGTGTGTGTGTGTGTGTGTGTGTGTGTGTGTGTGTGTGTGTGTGTGTCAGGTGACAGACGGGGTGGTGGATGTGATTGTGTATCCCAGCTCCACAGATAAGAGCAGGAACCGAGGTTTTGCCTTTGTGGAGTATGAATCCCACAAAGCAGCAGCCATGGCCCGGAGGAAGCTCATACCAGGTAACTGCTCCTGTTCCTGTTCACGCTCTGTCACACTCACTCTTTATTTTATATCTTTTATATTTTTTCAAATATTTTTTTAAATTAAAATTTTTTGTTTTTAACATGGTTTTTAAGTTATACGTCTGTCTGATTCTCGTGGACACGATATCTCAGCAACATCTTCACGGAACTTCTTCAAATTTGGCTGAAACATTCACTCGGACTGAAGGATGAATTGATTAGATTTCGGTGGTCGAAGGTCAAAGGTTAAGGTCAGGGTGACCTCACAAAACACTTTCAGCCATAACTCAAGACTTCACTCAATTATGACAAAATTTCACACAAATGGTTCAAATTTTATATGAAACTAGTCTGAGTGGAGGAGGGATACAGTCCTCTAGTTTTTATTTCATGTCTTCTTTCCTCTTCGTCTACACCTCCTCTGTACACGCACACACGCACACACACACACACACTCTGCTCCTGTCTTTGTCCAGCAGAGGGAGGTAGAACACAAAACACCGCAGCAGCTGCAGCAGCGTCTGCAGGGGAGTTTAACCGTGTGACTTCAGATTCACTCGGTATGGACGGGTGATACAGTGACACAATAGTGATTGATAAACCAGCAGAGGTTCAACCCGAACACCTCTGCACTCTGTCCGCTGTGTGCACTGCTGTAAATCAATGAGCAGGACTGCTGTGAGGCAGTATTGAACCTCTGCATCACTGTAATGTAGCGCATTGATTTATAATGTTTAATTCCACTGGATTAGCCACAAGCACTTTTTTCTCTGCATCTGGTTATTGTATCTGTAAACAGCAGCGTTTCCCCACAGGACGCTGTTCAGCATGAGCAGCGAGCGCTTCCCTGCCGAGATCAATCCACAGCCACGCGAACCTTTCCAGGAATCGGTACCGTGAGAGAGTGAATGTAGTTCCTCTGCAGGGGCCACTGAACTCTCCTGTAGCCCAGCACCTGTAGGGGCCCCATGAGGGCCCCCCGGGGCCCGTTCAGACCTGCATTAACGTGTCTTCAGTGACCCGATCACAGTGATCAGTTCATCAGTTCACACCTGCTTTAAAATGCCTCTCGATTGACCACTTCCCGCCTTATATTCAAATAAACAGGTATGTGTTGTGAGAGAGAGAGAGAGAGAGAGAGAGAGTAACCTGGACAGAGCAGACGCATCTTTTCTCTAAAGCAGTGTTAGTCCTGTTCTTAATAAAAGTAACAGAAAGTACCAATAAGAGAAGCGTTGAAAGCAGTAGCAGCGTTACAGTCTCAGTGATATCCATCCCTGTGCGTCGGATGTTTGGCTGCCGTCCCACGCTCAGATATCTTGAACTTATATCGTGTATAACTGGAACCACTACAGAGACACAGTGTGTGGTGTTTCCAAAGCCAACGACTAGTTGTGTCACCATGTGTCAGTTTTCATATTTGTATTGTCTGTATGAGACTATTGGAAACCAGAGTCCAGTACGTAGGTGATGTCGTGACCCCTCTGTGACCCCTCTGTGACCCCTCTGTGACCCCGCTGTGACCCCGCTGTGACCCCTCTGTGACCCCTCTGTGACCCCTCTGCGACCCCGCTCTGACCCCGCTGTGACCCTGTGTTTAACAGGAACCTTCCAGCTGTGGGGTCACTCCATCCAGGTGGACTGGGCCGAGCCGGAGAAAGACGTGGATGAAGAGGTCATGCAGCGCGTCAGAGTCCTTTATGTACGTATACCTGTGTGTGTGTGTGTGTGTGTGTGTGTGTGTGTGTAGATTTTTTCTATCACAAAATAATCACCTGTGAAGAAACTCATCATGTCACAGACACTGTGAGGTGATTCAGGTGAAACGAGCCAGAGGAGGAGACAGTGTCTCTGTGTTAAAGCTGTGCAGTTCATGTCCTGCAAAATCCCACTGCAGCCCGGTGTAAAAACTTAGTAAAGCCTTTAATTCTGCCTCTGCGTCTCCTCCACTTCCCTGCTGCGCCGCTCTGCAGCCAAAGGTCAGCGCTTTTAGGAAGAGGCCTCTGAAATATTCTGCAGCCTTGTTCAGATCAAAGGTGAGCGGGAGCCGAGCAGCAGGGAGGAGACTCGCAGGAGCTGCACTCCCTCCAGGGGATCAATTACCATGGAGGCTTTTACTCTGAAAGACTGAGCTGTGATCTGAGGGCAACAAATACAAACCTAAAAGCACCTCTCAGTTGTGTGTAGGAGGGTATTTTTAGCCCGGGAGGCCCAGTGGTAAAAAAAAAAAAGAAAAAAAAAAAGCCCGGTGTGGTGTGTGTGTGTGTGTGTGTGTGTGTGTGTGTGTGTGTGTGTGTGTGTGTGTGTGTGTGTGTGTGTGTGTGTGGACTGCTGCACTGATCCACAGTGAATCTGCCAGCGATGAAAAAAGCACAACTTCCTGTGATTTGGAGATGCTCTGAAGCAGGTCATCCAACTCTGGAGTGTGGGCTCAGTGTGGAGCGAGCAGGGAGATGTGAGAGGTGCTGAACAGGAAGAAGAAGGAGTCAGGAAATTCCAGTGATTCTCAGAGGACATCAGAGACTTAATATAGCAGCTGTTATTTTAGTGTTTTTGTTAAATGTTGAGTTCATTAAAAGGCCCGTTCAGTCTGACTGTAGAGGAACTTTGTCTTGGTCCTCCCTCCTTCCTTCATGAACGTTGGCTCTGCACCAGAATGAGAATCTGATCTCAGAGAAGATCCTGGTTAAATTAAAGTCAAAGACAGTCAGAGGAAATCATTCAAATCAGATGAAGACATCACAGACAGATGTTGGTAAACTTCATGTTCAGATGTGTTGTGTTAATAACACAGATGTTCTGCGTTGTGCATCTGGTTAACACAGATAAATGTCTGTGTGTCTGTGTGTCCTCTGCTGCAGGTGCGTAACCTGATGCTGAGCACCAGTGAAGACACTCTGCGTCAGGAGTTCTCCCGCTTCAAACCCGGCTCGGTGGAGCGCGTCAAGAAGCTCACCGACTACGCCTTCATCCACTACCGCTGCCGCGAGGACGCCGTCACCGCGCTGAGTCTGATGAACGGGGCCCAGATCGACGGAGCCACCGTGGAGGTGACGTTGGCCAAACCGGCGGGCATCAAAGACGTGAGTGTAGCCGGGAGGAGGTACAACGGCCGGGCGTACCTGGGGAACAACGCAGCAGGAGGAGGAGGAGGAGGAGGAGATGGAGGAGGAGGGAATGGGACGTATCTTCTGCACAGGAACGATGGAGGGATGATGGGAGGAGGGGAGGACGGATGCTCTCCACTGAGACCCGTGTCCCTGCCGCCACGCCTGGGGAGCCCCTTCTACCCAGGAGCAGGTGGAGGTGAGGAGGAGACATTACATTAATCCACTGTTCTGATAATCCTCTAAACTGTTGTTTTACATAAAACTTAAAAAAATATCTTTAGAATCAATACGTACAGGAAATAACCTATAAGCATAAAACTGTAAACGAATCACATACATAAGAAAACCTACTGTAATTAATTGAAAATGACCTGCGACATGAAAAACACCAATACTGAGCTGAGTGCTTTATATTTTAATGGTTATATTATATAATTATTTATATCATAATTGTACATATGTCTTTTTGGGCCAAACTTAAATTAAATTTTCTACCTTTGAGTCTTTTTCCATAATTAAACAGTTTTTTAACCACTGACGTCACACACCAAGTGAATTAGGAATTTAAACAGATTAAATCAACAGCAGGTTGATCATTTAATTTGAAATGCATCTGTCACTGTTCAGCGAAAAAACACAGCAAACAAAACTACACAACGTCCAGAACAAACATCAGATCAGGCTGAACATGTGGCGCAGTATCTCACAGTTAAAACAAAGTCTGACGTGTTTTTCTTCCTCAGGCAGCCTGAAGCCTTCAACAGTAAATAACCTGTAATGTTACTGAATAAACATGAGACCTGTTACCTCAGTCTCACACTGCAGGAAACAGCTGCCCAGCTGTGGCACATGTGCCAGCGACGCCCAGATACTTTTCTTCCTCTATGAGAATATTAATGATCAGCGATCATCTTCATCTTCCTTTGTAGACACAGCTGAGCAGCCTGAAGCTCTGCTCCTCATTACTCCACATTTCCACAGTTTTCCACTTCTGTCTGTTTCATCATCAAACGGCCGGCAGGAGTTTTATTGATATCTTTAAAGTAAAGCTATTTGGTTACTGAAACACACTAGAAACAGTTAGTAGGTGTATGGATGTAATGACATGTAATGATATTATGACAAATATCCCAGGTGACACTTAGTATGATTCTGTTTTCTCTTCAACTCGAGACATTTTGTCTCCAGTCAAGTTTTTCTTTTTTCAAATCGGTGTTTTTAAGTGAAGTGAACAGAGAAGAGTGAAGACTCATCACAGCCTGGACACAGTGACATCTCCTGGACCTCCTCAAGCTTTCTGATGAAGTCCACATCATGAGAGCAAAGCTTCTAAAAGCCTAATGTTTCATTTAACATGGTGATTTTTTTCACTTTTTATCCTGCAACTTTGAGCAGGTTTTGTCTTATAAATTTCAAACCGCATTCATCAGGTCTCACTGGTAATATTGATAGAGCCGCGATATTAATCTGGTGATAAAGCAAAACTCCAGCTTCCTGACGCCCGCAGTCATTTCTGAAAATGAGAAAAGTTTTACAGTTAACTCTCCCACAAATGGACTGTAAAATATTTATGAGAGGAAAGAGACTCCACTACACTCCCATGTACCACTACAAGAAAGAGAGAGAATCAGGGAGGGAGAGATGAGAGATAAGGGGGAGAGAGACTCCAGGGAAAAGGAATTAAAGATTTACTTATGGAGTAAGAAACATAGAGGAGATAAGAGAGGGATTGAGAGGTGGAGAGAGCTGGACAGACGGGTGAAGCTTTAAAGCAGGGAGAGATTTAAACACACACAAACTGAAATCTCTCGTTTTTACAAAAGTCTTCACTCTGTCATTATTGATAATTGAGTCCAGACTGATGGACAGAAATGTTTTGAAAAATGAAATCATGGTTATGTTTTTGATGTGTCGACAGACGGATCTGCTAATGAATCCACTCCTCAGCTTAATTTCCTTCATTCATCATGGTGATTACAATAGCTCAAGTGTTTTGTTTACTCCCAGCTAATGTGACGAGACTTGATGTCGCCTGAAGGACGGTGGCACAGTCGTGACGGGCAGCTCGTGCGTTCCTGACAAGTCTTTATTCATACATAGTCATTACAACCAGGATCACTGGTTATTACTGTGGATTTTTATGAAACAAAATCTTTTTCACTGATGTGGATCTTAAACTGTGATGTAATTGAAGACACTGTTAAAAAGCCTCTGGATGAACTCAGAGCGAGGTTTAAGGAGTAATGGAGACATAAAGACAGATAAAGAGGAGCTGAGTCGTGTTTTCTGACTGAGCAGATAACTGGTGATAGTTCTGCTGAAGAGCTCGTTAACATCAGATATCAGACGTTAATAACAGTTTTTAATGAACTGTGGTACAGTAAAAAGTTTGGGTTATTAGACTCCAGTTCAGTTCAACATCGTCACACTGTAGTAATGAGCGCTAATGCTAATCCTGTGTTTGTCTCTGTGTCACCAGACGACCTGGACAGGTATGTGTTCCCCCTGTTTCCCGGCACTCCCCTGTCCCCCACCAGCATGCTGTCGCTGAAGCAGAGTCAGATCGGCTCCGCCGTCAGCCTGCTCGACTTCTACTGCCGCAAAAACTACTGGTCCCAGCCCGAGTACCACCTGTACTCCACACCTGGGCAGGACGGAAAACTGCTGCTCCTGTACAAGGTCTGTACACAACTCCTAATACACAATTACACATTTACACTAGTGTTTTTATACACACTGCAAAGACACTTACACAGGCAGAAGGATGAGATGGAGATTAATGTGAGTTTTATTTTAACATTTAGATGATTAATCACTTCAGTTTACTTCATCTCACCTCACCTCAACTTACTTTATTTCAGCTTCACCTCAGCAATTTCACGTTACTGAACATGACATCACTTATTGTTGTGCTCCTCACGCCAACTTCTTTCACTTCAAGTCACTTCACCTCAGTTCATCACACTTAAGTTCATCTTACGTCACTTCACTTTACTTCACCTCACTTCACTTGCCTTCACTTTTTCACTTAATTTTACTTCCTTTTTACTTCTCTTCATGTCACGTTACTTCACTTCACTTCGCTTTACTTCACTTGCAGCAGCCATTAAAAATAAATCACAGAATAGTAACAGAAGACGTGGAGTAAATAAGAGCATAATTGTTTATTTGTATATATTTTGTGTGTGTGTGTGTGTGTGTGTGTGTGTGTGTGTGTGTGTGTGTGTGTGTGTGTGTGTGTGTGTGTGTGCAGGTTGTGATCTCATCCACACGAAGCACCTACATCCCAGACAAGCTGTGTGTGCTGCTGGATGATGCCAAAGAGCTGGCTGCACAGACCACCCTGTGGAACCTAGGTACTAGTTCGCACCACACACACACACACACACACACACACACACACACACACACACACACACACACACACACACACACACACACACACTTCATTTTATTTAACTTAACTTCAGTTTGCTTCAGTTCACTTTAACTCTCTTCTCATCACTTCATTTTACTTCACTTCTTTTCACTTAACTTCACTTTCTTTCACTTCACTTTCCTTCATTTCACCTCACTTCACTTTACCTTTTAAAGACACAGCACATGAAGGTGATCATGTTTGCCGGCTGGACGTTGGCATGGAAACCCAGAGACGTTCAGGAGACGTCTCACTCTCTGAGAGAGGGACTGTTTAAACTGTGGCCTGTGCTGCAGTTTATATCGTTCACTCTGCTGCAGAGACGTTGAAAGAGTCGACTGTCGTTGGTGCAGTGTGATAATAAACCAGACCTTCTGCTCAGTTTTAATGGCAGGTTTTTATGTGGAGTTAATGATGTGAAGCCACTGACTGTAGATACTGTAGGAAGAGATTAGATAAAACACTCTAATTGTTTTCATTTGACTCAGCGACCTGAACCCGTTCTCAATCTAACATCATAATTTATTCACATTCACATAATTGTTTCTTCTTCTTTCTCATTTACATGATGCAGATAAAGGAAATTAAACAGCACAAAAGTAAAATGATATAATGATAGGAATAAACTAAGTTTATTCTTTTATCTGAGTCCTTTAGTTTGTGGACTCATTTAACTGACAGGAAGTCCAGGACCCTGCAGGGGCCACACAGTCACCTGACTGCTGAAGGAAAACTGGATTCTCACAGAGGGAGCGGTGTGGCAGCCAGTTTGTGTTGCATGTTGTCTGAACTGTGTTGTAGCAGCTGTCAGAATCTGAACCGGTGCCATCTGGATCTCCCTCTGAGCCAATCACATCGCCGCCTGCAGCCAGCGTCTCTCAGAGCCTTCGAGGAGTTCCTGTCGAACAGAGATATTTGAAAACAAAGGTCACCTGCAGAGCAACGGCCTGCTGTCTCCAAACAGACATCAGGACTCCAGTCACCTGCATTTAAACATCTGCATCACAAACTCATTCACTGCAGAAGTAAATACGTGGTTTAATGGAGTTAAGGAAGAAAATGTTTGTGCTAATGCTGCGAGTACAAGTCTTCTTCAGTCTGCACCATGAGACGATGAGACGTCCACACTGAGCGCTAGAAAAGAAAAGAAGAAGAAGTGGTTTGTTCGTTCCGAAAGAACAGGAAGGTGGAGTAAAAACCGGCCCTTCTTCGCCCATTCTTGGATTATCTGGTAGTGCCAAGATGGCGATGGTGGAGCAGCTCACTCTGCTTCTAATCTGCTCTTCAGAAACCTGTGGGTGATGTCACGGAGGCTACGTCAACCTGTACCTCCGCCCTCAGGTGGCCACGCAGGTGAAATGTCAGCTGAGGTTTTATGAGCTGCGATCGAACAGGTATTTATTTGTTCAGTTGTCAGCTGAGACTCTGCAGGGGAACAGGACAGAAGAAGAAGAGATTTGCTGCTTTGTTATTGTAGTTTGCATTTTACACTGTGGACGCATCGTTTTTCTCAATCCCATCATGCTCCTTGTCGCTCAGTGGATCCACCCCATGAAGAGCTGTCCATCAATCTCAACACCCTGGAAACCTGCTGATCGTTGATCCACTTTTATGTGCCGACATGTTTTCGCTGTGAGCTGGAAGTTCCTGTTTGAGACGGACACAATCCCCCATCATGCCTTTCTTTGTAACACACAGCTGTTGAGTCCCTCAGCTTTCCCTCCTGAACATCATCCTTTTGAAATACTACAGGAGTTGAGCTTGGCTGCGTCTCTGGGGGCCGGAGCTTAAGTGCAGCATGAATTCACCATCGGCGCAGACAGAAGTGGGACTCAGAGTCTTCACATCCGTATGAAAAGGAAATAAAAACCACAGAGAGAAAGTGGGTCACTTCAGAGCAGGAGGAGGCTGAAACAGGATTCTCAGTTAAAATGCTTTTCTTAATTGACTCGCAGGAATCACGTCTGTGCGGCTGCAGCTTTCTCGCGTCCCTGTGCTCCGAAGCGGCGACCACCAGCCGACCCGCACGCAATTAAAAATGTTTTTTTGGACGCGGGATGTTATTCTGAAAGCGCAGGGAGGAATGACGGGGGAGTGGCTGTGCTGCTGGAAGTCCGCCCTGTGGTGGACGCTTTTAATCAGGCTCTTACGCTGCATCTATTTTTCATCAGCTCCAGAGGGAACTGATTATCAGCTCCTGATCGAGATAAAAACTGCCTCCATCTTCAGCCACAGCTCCTGTCTTTCTTTTCCCTTCTGTCTTTTATCTGCCAGGATCTCAGGTGCTTCTTCTTCTTTTTTTCTTTGAATTTGGCCCAAAACGACTAAACTAGCAACAACTTTCTTTTAAAAACGGCACATTTGGAAAATTTTTTGTGTTATTTTGTGCTGAAATTGAAACATTTTGATAGTAAAAGACACTGTAAAGACGGATGATCTGACTAATGTGATGGTTTTGGTTCATGTGCAGCCGTGCTGGGTGAAGGTGAACATCTATGATTTATTAAATATACCCTCAGCAGATCACATCACTGGTGTCACAGCATCCCTGTCTCACCCCCCCCCCCTCTGTTTCCTCTCCTGCAGACTCGTCCTTCCTGAGCGGAGCGTCCGGTGATTCTCCCAGCAGCGCCTCTCCGCCGCTCGCCATCCCCTCCGCCACCAGCCCCGGGCTTCTGACCTGCGGCGGCAGGGCCTTCCCCTCCTGCCTCCCTCCTCCTCCCCCCGCCCCCTCCCTCCCCCTTCCCCCTCACTCCCCTCTCTCCCCTCTCTCCCCTCTCCTCTCTCTCCACGCTCACCCCCCCCGCCTCCCAAACGCAGAGGCTCTACTTCAGCTCCCAGGCGCCTTTCTACTGACGGTGAGACACAGTGATCTGACGCTGAAGTGTAATGATCCCACCTCTATTATTATATTAATATTGTTTTATATTCTAGACCACACTGAGCTGATTACATCAGGAGTTAATGTAAAGTAGCTGCTTATTTCCTCGTGCAGCAGTTACAGAGCAACATGAGGATTCGTGGTGAGTCTGGTTTGTGTCACCTGATGAATCTACGCCCAGTGTTCCCGCTCTTTTAGCTCTGTGTTTGGTCTCCTCCAGCTCCTGGGGGAAATCTCTGGCTCTCTAGCTGCTGAACGCTCCGCTGTGTTCAGCAGCTGCTCTGATTCTGTTTGAGCAGTGAAGTCGAGTGAACACGAGGAGAGAGACTGTACGAATGTTGACAGAGTCTTCAGTCGTCAGTTCGTCTGTCTCATTCTCTCGGACACGATATCTCAGTAAAATCTTGATGAAACTTCTTCAAATTTGGCAGAAATATTCACTAGGACTCAAGGACAAAGTGATTAGATTTTGGGGGTCAAAGTTCAAACATTAAGGTCAGTGTGACTTTACAAAACAATTTCATGCAGCAATTGTGACAAAATTTCACACAAATGGTTCATATTTTATATAAACTACTCTGAGTGGCGGAGGCAGAAAACCATGAGGAGGTAATTCTAGTTTCACCTCGCTGTTGCAGTTTCCTGTTTCACCATGGCAACCACAGAAACCGTCCTGAAGGTGCTTTCAGACAGCGAAGGGTTACCGCTGCGTCGGCAGCCGGGCAGCGGCGATGGGCTGTATGTTAACGAGGCAGCAGTGTGGCGTTACTCCCCCTCTACGACCACCAGCTGCCTCTGATCCGTCAAACGCCACCCGCCACTCACCACAGGCTGCTGCCGCCGTCCACCTGCTCTGATCTCATCAGGCGGACACACAGCCCGGCCTGCGGGAGAGGAAACGGTTCGAATACAACATGTATCAAAGTGGAACAAACGTTAGAAGCTGTTGTTGCTCCGAGACGTTCATTGATCTGTTTGTTGGCTGCTGGTGGAGAAGCATCGAAGAACAGGGATTCATTCGTTTCCCGCAGTGGGAGTTTTTCTGCCAGAGAGTCGAAAAAAGTTGAAGCAGCACCGACAAATCAACAGCAAACAGGAAACTCATATCACAAACCATCTCCTCTGCTTTGTTTTCTATGGTCAGGATGATCGGCTCAGCGTCAGCTCTGACTCCCCTGTGTTCACATGAACTAAATAACAGGACGGTTAAAGCATGTGAAACACCATGTGAAGAAGATTTAACCCTTAGATTCGTTCCTCAGGTCGACAGCGACTGTTGCTGTGAATAAAAACAGACACAGAGTTGGTTCATATTCACAGTAACATGACGCTGCAGCAGCTGGTGTCGGCTTCATTTCCTTTGATCCTGGAGGCTTTGATGAGGCTGTAGTCTCTGTGCCACTCATGAAGCAGAACATGAGCAACTGCACGGCACAAAGGTCAAAGATACGGCGAAGCACCAGACCCACGTCAGGACTCCTGACGGAATCTCGCTTCGTTGGCGTTCAGCTGCTCTGCTCACGGCGAGAGGAAGAGAAGGAGGTGCCACGACGTCCAGCAGCTGATGGAGCCTCAAAAATCTGTAGTTTGAAACTGAAAAACTTCCACAGAAACATCTGTCCACCTGTGGAGCGCTGTGTGTGTGTTCGCCCTGTGCCGTAACCACGAGCTGTCTGAGTTACAGCAGCCACTGCTTTAAACAGGAAATCTAACACTGAGAAATACTGATGGATTCAGAAGTGATTGTAAAATGTCATAAATGTGTGTTTGTTATTTTTGATGATAATCTCTGAAGAGGTTTGAGCTGCATATGTTTAATATTTGGCTCTAACAACCTGAGCCGTGAGAGTGTTTGTAAAGCCACAGTTTAGCTACTGGATGGAATCAGAGGTAGAAACCTGTGCAGTTGAGATGATTGGCAGGAGGCTGCAGCTGGTTACAGGTGATCACTGGGCAGCAGACGCTGTTTAACACAAACCTGTCGCTACAGCTGCAGTTCACACGGTGCTTGTTGCTGCCGTTTCACTTACAACCAACAGCATCTGCTTTAAATGCAGAGAACCCTGGGACCAGTGATGTAAAGATGTGACCTGTTGTTGCAGGAGGCAGCGGCGAGACGACAGGTCACAGCAGAGGAGGAGGAGGAGGAGGAGGAGGAGGAGGCAGAGGAGAGCCAGGAGGAAAGGCAGGACTGTCTTTATTATGACTACACTACCAAATATTTCCCAGCGCAGTGTTTTTGTAACATGCCGCCTCTGGCTGACTTCAGATGTTCAGCACAGACGGACGAGCAGAGAAGTGTTCACGTCTCCCATCTGTTTGTTTCATCTCCCTCTATTTTGCGTCTTTATCTCGTTTAGAGAGGGAGGGAGGGAGGGAGGGGAGGATAATATTTAGTTTCTGACGAGCTGCTCGGCTTCTTTTCTCAGTCACCTCTGATAAACTCAACAATGAACGACACTGTTTAGATTTCACAAAAACGCACAAATCCAGCAGATAAACCGTCTTCTATCAACCTCTGTTAAATGTCAGCCTCCCTCTTTCCTCTCTCCTCTCTCCTCCTCTGTGGTGTCGTTTTCTTACGGCCAAACTTCCCCTTACAGTTCCCATAATGCCACAGCAGGGACACAGATATCGTATCAGAGCTTCACACGAACATTTACCTTCAAATAAGAAGATTGGTTGTTGTTTTGTCTCACGAGTGATAAAATCTGATCAATTTAAGTCGTCAGGTGAAAGATCTGATGATTTCTTTATAAATGTATATTCACAGAAAAACAAAATGAATGTTTCAGGCTTAAAATGAACAGATGATCTTCTCCTCCACAATAATCCAGCTCCTCTGGGAGAGTAGCACAAGTTTTACGAACAAGTCAACGTCGTCATTTTTTGGGTAAACCGTGAAGTTAAAACCACGTCAGGCTGCGTGTACAGAGCTGCGTTAGAATGAAAAACAGCCTCTTCCACTACACTAGAGTCCGATTTCCATTTCCTGTCATCCTCTCACTACACCACTCATCACTGTAGAGAGCTACAAAGAGGGCTTCTCTTTCTTCTTCTTGGGCCAAGGGAAGTTTGTCGACTCCCTCTCATGTTAGTGTTAGCCTGAGTTATGTGAGAGAGGATGAAACACCTTAAAGCCAAATGTCAAGTGTCCGGCCCATCGTTTCCCCAACACGTTCCTCAGAGGAACAGCAGCTCGTCTCCGAGCTGACATGTTTACAGCCGCTGGTCATGGAGTCGCTTTTTCCATGTTTCCTAATTTGCCTGAGCCACTTCACTTCACAGCCGTGTTTCTGTAGGTTTTTAAGACTCGGCCATTTTGAAGGAGGAAGAAAAACATGAGGATGAAGATTAAAAACAACCTTTGAGGGCAGATTTAAGATGTTTTTCCTCCGGACGCCTTCGTCTCGGTGATTTAGTCTCATTTAAGTCACATTGACAAAGAGTGAAAAGGAGTGAAAACACCATAATCTGTGTTTCTCCATGTTTCCTAAAATCGCTTGGTCTCCTCTTCGTGCGTTTACGTTTTAAAGCTTTTAAGACTTTTCAGTCAGTCTCTCATACTGGTGTTTCTCTGTTGTAAAGGAGGAAGGAAGAGGTTAAAATGTCAGAGACAAGGTTTTATTTTACATCCTGATAAATTAAAGAGCTGTAATTTAGAGCTGAGGCAGTAATTTAAATTCACTTTGTTTGTGGCTGAGCTGCTGCTTCCTGAATAAACTTCTCGTCACAGAAGCAAATCAGACCTGAAACGATTAATTGATCAGTTGATCGACAGGAAAATAATCAGCAAATATTCTGATAGTCGATTGTTTTAGTCAAGTTTCAACAAAAATAATGACAAAATGTCAACAGCATTTAAACCTTTATTCAAAAAAATGAAATTTCCAGAGAATGTCGTTAGATCACAAAAAGAAATGTGAGTATTTAAAGTCATTTTTGAGGTGTTTGATCAGTGGGAGCCGGAGAGGAGGATGAGATGGGGAGGGGAGTTTATTTCTTTATCAGAGGATGAGAAACTGGAAGCCGAGTGGAGTCAGTGTGGTCGTGTACATAGTTCTTTAAACGACAGTTAATTCAGTTCAATTCATTCAAAGCACAAAGAGACGAGTTAAATCGAGGTTGAATTAGCTGTTAGTTATTATTAATGAGTTAAATTAGTTTTCATGTTCCTCTTCACTGCGACTCTGAAAGCGAGTCAGAAACTCCGATTTAAGATCAAACGAGAAGCAGCAGGACGAGTTTAAAGGCAAATCATTTTCTTCATGTTCATGTTTTGTTGATGTTCATTGATTTGTTCGGACGGAGCAGCTGACGACTCTCCTTGTTGCTGTTGATGATTCAGGCTTTTTGTAGCCTTGAACCACTTCATATGTTTTATATATTCATGTAGTAAAAGTGTTTGTAGAGTTTTAGCTCACTTTGTGGATGTTTTACGATCCTTTAATCCAGTTTGTCTTTCACTCTGCTGGTTTAAAGTCAAAGTTTCTGAAGTTTTGTTCAGACATTTTATTCTCAGGCTGGAAAAATAGATTTTTTTTTCTTCTTGTTTGACTTTAAAAGTGACAGAATTCAAACATTTTAGATTCAGGTCATAATATTTTTCCCTGTCGTCTTTTTATTCAGTGAATTAACAATCCAAACCACATGGCAATGTGATTTTATTTCCTCCTGTTTTTTTTAAATTGGAATCTGTTTAGTGATTAAAAGTGATAATAAATAATAATAACACAAATTAACACCTATTTATTTAACGATCCAGATAACAAAACCTAATCAAAACCAAAAATCAGGAAAGAAGAAAATAACTCAGTGTTAATGAATATGACCTTATTTATTTAGTTAAAATATGTCCCATCCACTTTAAATAAAGACAGAATGAAGAGTTTGATTATCCAATGAGAACTCAGCCTTGTGATTAAAAGAGCAAAGTGTTATTGTTGAAGTGATGTCATCTCAGGAGTTACGTTTC